TTCATTAATGTCAGTACACTACCAAAATTCTGCAAATGTTCTTTAAATGGAAAAGTCAAAAAAATGATATAAACTCGAGAGAAGAGTCGGAGTAAGATGATGCTTCTCTTTTGTGCAGGTTCAGAAGAAGACTAAATGAAAACGTCCACTTAGAAACAGAAAGAGTAAAAAACAGAGTCATGTTATTTTTTTTTTTACATAAAATACACGCGTTTTTAATGCTAGTATTAATAATAAATGTTAAAATGAGCACGCTAACCCACAAACAAAAGAAGACTAATAAACACGCTTTTTTATTTTTTATTTTTTATTTTTACCTAAAATACATGTTCTTTTGTCATGTATATATTTATATATGTTGTTGAACATAGTCATTAAGACTAAGAACTCTTCATTGTCAAATTAATATAGTATGTGTATTTATATGGATATTTTCATAATTTGTTTTGGAGTATTAAACTTTAAAAATTACTTTTTAGATAAATGTTTTAATTATAATGGAATTTTTTTTATAAAAAAAGTGTCTATATTAATGGGATGAAAAAACAAAAGAATAGACTATATAATTTAATTGACAATCAAATGAAATAATCATTCAAAATAATGTTTGAATTATAATATTTTTTATAAAAATGATTGTATTTATTAAATGAAAAATTAGATAAATAGAAGAGTAAAAATGAAATTTCAATCAATTATATATATCACACTATATTTAAATCAATTATTACAATAACATTATTTTAAATATTTACCTTGCATGAAATTATTACATTATAATAATTTAAAATTATAATAAATAATTTTTTTAATAGAGAATATTATAAATTAAAAATTTAACATCGGTCAATAATTGCCTCAAATATCATATATGTTATGAAGTTAGATGAAAATACACATAGAAGGGGGGATTGAATGTGTGTGTGTAAACAAAGGTATTTTGAAAACGTTTTCGCAATGGACTCATTCTTCGTCTAGTGAAAATATTATTTTGAATGCTTAACATTTACTGTGTAGATTTGCGTCTGAAAGTTTATCATTTGCACAGGAAAAATGATTCTTAAAAGAAAATCGTTCTTTAAAATAGGAAGTTAAACAAGTGTGATTTTCATCTGAAGATAGTTATAATGGACGATAAGCATTAGACGAAGTTTTCAGTATATTAAATCAACTGAGTGAAAATGCATCTGAACATTAAAACATAGTGCAAGTATTTTTATACTGGTTCGCTCAAACTGAGTTACGTCCAGTCTCCTTCAAATGAAGGGTTCCACTAGATGTTCAATGAAATACAAGTATTATGACCACTTCCAGTTTTCCAAGTATTATCGACCACTTCTAGCCCGTTAACTTCACTCATCGATGCTAGTATTCTTTAATCAACCTCTTTAGGCTCGCATTGAGTATTCTCGACCACTCCTGGTCTTGAATATTCTCAACCACTCCTGGTTGGCTAATCGCACTAGTATTCTTTGTTTAGCCTCTTCAGCCTCTTAGTGTGTATTCTTGATCACTCCTAGTCCCAAGTATTATCAACCACTCTTGATTGGCTAACTTCACTTATTAGCTTAGTATTCTTTGTTCAACCTCTTCAGGCTCTCAATAAGTATTCTCAACCACTCTTGGTCCCGAGTATTATCAACCACTCCGGGTTGGCTATTAGTACTAGTATTCTTTATTCAGCCACTTCTGGCTCTCAGTGAGTATTATCGACCAACTCTTAGCCTGCTAAATTTACTCATTAGCGCTAGTATTCTTTAATCAGTCACTTCTGGCCTGCAGTGAGTATTTTTTAACAAGCCTCTCCAGGCTTTACAAGTATTCTTTTCCTAGCCTCTTCAAGCTTTACAAATGATAAATAAATAATTGAGGTTGAGTGTTTGGTTTACTCTTATAGAGAGAATACATATATTTTATAACACTCACTAAGGTATATGATCCTAAGTTACACTTAGAACTCCTTAGTCTAAAGTGATAATTACATCAATGTACATTTGACTCTAGAAGCTCTATCTCTGGTTTCCTTACTTCATGGGCTTGATATCACTCTTCATCTATCTTTTCTAAAAGCCAACCTTTTCAGGTTCAAAGTTGTGACATATATATATAGTTTTGTAAAATTTTCCCGTTGCAAGTGTCCGTTGAAGCGAATATAGTCGTTCATAACTAGTTTGATCTTTCATTTAATGTTCAGGATCTTGCATTAAATGTTGCTTCCTGTTCATGGACATTGCATGAAGTCTTCTTCGTTTTGCATGCGAGAGTGTCTGAATTTAGCAGAGACCTAGGAACCTTTTTGTCCTTTTCTGATCGCGTAGTTGTAGAGCGTTGTCCTTATCTGAAAAAGTAATATATTTTTTCTAACACATGCATGATTTTACTTCTGCGCTTGATTTTCTTTTTCTCCTCTTCTTCTATTGCTCGCGCAATCATTTTGAGCTTTTATGATGCTTTGACTTTCTTTATGGTCTGGTCAACATTGTGGATGGACAAACTTTGTTTCCGTCTGAAATACCTTTCAGTCTGTGTCGTCCTTAGTCTGATACATAGTTGACTTTCTTTTGACCAATGCTTCGTCTAATTTGTGCTCTATTTTGTTTTTGACACACTTTTGTTTGATAATAGACTCATGATCGTCTGGCACACACATCATACTTTGGCTATTCATTTGACTTGTTTACTCTTCGTATGATTCTTATGTTGTGCTTTGCTTCATCTTTTTCAGTGTAGGAAGTTGTACATATTTTGTTATTCATTTTGCCTGTACTTATATTTTTCTGAAATACTAACACACTTCTTAGAAATAACATGTATTATATTTATCTCATTCAAAACTTTGCTGGGAATTAATTCGTCTGTCTTAACATGTTAGTTATTATAAGGTCAATAAATATATTAAACTCATTATTATATACATTAATTTATAAATTTTCTATAATACTCTTTTTATTATAAAAAAATTAAGACTATAAAAAAATAAAGTTAAACACATTAAACTAGTAAACACATGATTATTTTAATTATATTTATTAATTACTATCATACAAATCATGTCTTAAATTAAATATCTCATGCATCACACGAGTACCCATACTAGTTTTATTAGAATGATAAAAAAAATTTATTAATTTTTCTTTTTGTTATCTTTTAATGATCCATCCTGATCGGCACACTTAATGGGATCACTATTACGAAAACAAACTTACTAGAATATGCAATAAAACTGACTTCTCCAATGTTGTGTGCATATGCCTTAAATTACTCCTGTTTGTGCAAGTGTGCCTACTATAAAGAAATTCATGAGCTCTAGGACATGGGAGGTCCAGTAGAAGGTCTGACATAATAATTATATTAAATTGACAATTAAACTCAATTTTGTCTCTAATATAAAAATTTCACTTTTGATGTGATGCATTTATGTGAATATGCAACAAATAGGTAGGTTTAGTGTCGCATTTGATCCCCTTGATGGGTCCAACATTGTGGACACAAACTTCACAGTAGGCACCATCTTTGGCGTGTGGCTTGGAGATAAGTTGACTAGGATCACAGGAAGAAATCAAGTTGTTGCAGCCAAGGGATTTTGGGTCCTAGAACCATGTATGTGCTTGCTCTTAAGGACTTCCCGGACACCCATGAATTTCTTCTACTTGATGAAGGTCAGGTTTATGCCGTAAAAAATCTTATTTTAAGTAATCACACATTACCATATATTTTATTTAAAATTGAACTTGCTAGACCACTTAATATGAAAATTGCTTATGTTATTCCTTTGTTTTTCATTAGTGTAAAAGTTTGTTTTTTGTTTTTCAAAAATAAAGATTCTACAAGTGATTTTGTCTCTAAATTGGAAGAGGGTGTCTTGACCATTAAATTTTAGTGGGTTATGTTATACATGATACACATAATTTTTCACAAACTCCCTTTAAAGGAGTCTTATCCAAATTTTATCACATGACTAAAATGTTTAATATATATTCATATTTCAGGAAAATGGTAGCATGGATAGAAAATTGCAGAAGGAAAACTACTCTCCCCAAAAAAATTTAAAAGCCACATTTGACAACCCGATTATGCTAAGGTTTACCTATATTTTTCTTTAAGTGTTACTATGACTTGTTTGACTGAATACTTACATCTTTCTCTGTCATTCAATAGTTGATCGATTACTATGTCAATGAAAAGTATACACTAAGATACACACGAGGAATGGTGCCAGATGTCAACCAAATTTTTTTCTTAACACAACAATACATGACATTTTAATACGGTTTAATCTTTTATATTTTTTCATAAATATGCATGTTCCATGAAGCTGACTATCAACCTAGTAAAGTAATATATATGCTTTCAAAATGTTCTATAGATTATTGTAAAAGAAAAAAGGATCTTCACAAACGTAGCATCAACATTGACCAAAGCTAAGCTGAGATTGTTGTTTGAGGTAGCTCCTTTGGGATCATTGATTGAAAAAGCTGGAGGTTACAACAGTGATAGTCATCAGTTTGTGTTGGACAAAGTCATCAATAACATTGATGAAAGAACTCGAGTTGTCTATGAATCCAACAATGAGATCATTGAGTTTGAAGAAACCTTGAACGGTAAATCTACTCAAGGGTGGTGTAGCTGTTGGAGTGATTACTTAAACTATTAAACTTGTAATTCATTGTCAGGTTGCATTGATTTTAAGAAAGATATATGTTATGTTAAACAAGTATTTGCAATTTACTCATTGATTTTCTATTTATCACCGTGACACGAAGTTAATTTTATGTTGGTATCACTCATTAGATGTGAAAAAAAAATCTAAATGAAAAATTACTTAAATAGAAAACAACACAGTCATAATATTTAAGGATTTATAAATAAAGACTATATTTCTATAATACATAACAAAATAAATCTTTCAAGATCATCCTAATTACAATTGAATTAAAAGTCAATCCGGTTTGTAAAATTTTAAGAAAGTAAATCTTCATAATAAAATTGACAAAACAATATTTATATGATCAAATGGTTTCTTAATTTGTCATATACTTGTAACAATGCATAATTGACAAATCACATTGTATATATACAAGTTAAGATTCTAATAACTTGTCATAATCGTCTTAGGTGCAGACAAAAAAAATTAATTATTTATTGTGTTGATTGAAAGATGACTTTCCTTATAAATTACAATCTGACAAGATCTATCGATCCCTTTAACATCAAGCTCCTCAATCATGTGAGTATTTAAATCATACCTGACTAGTTCTTCATCTTTACTTCGAAAAAAAATATCCCCCTTCTTCCCAGCTCCGATAGAATGTATAATGTAAGGCAAGGGCTCAACAATGAAAAGTTTAGTCCATGATTCCTTCACACCGACTTTACCCAAAATTGATATGTAAAAAGTGGAGGAATACTTAAAATGCGAGATCAAAGCAACAGATACATTTAACAACACCAAAGTAACATCATATTCATAACGTATCCTATCTGATGGTATTTCTAAGGGTATAGGTGTTGTAAAGAATACCTCGTTGCTTAAGTCAAACGACACCAAGTAATCATCACCTTGCCAATGACACATTCCATCCAAATACAAATAGTCAACCCTATCACTGAAGGGTACATCGACATCAACCTCAAGATTCTTCCAAGAGTTACTTCTCAGGCTATATATCTCCCATAAAGGGTCACGATGTTCATTTTCATGAATCCAGTTTTCATGTTCAATAGGTAGAACAAATTCTACATGACTAATCACCTTATAGTCATCTGTATCACGGTCATAGCCAAATCCACATGGATCAGCTGAATAAACTAAATTAGATGGTACAAACTTGTTTGGGCTAGGAGGAAGGATCTTCAATTCTTCGGTAGTTGGGTTCCACAGTCCAATTGTGGAATATAGGTTGTTGACACAAAGAAATCCATTAATACTAGCATGACCCAAAATATGTATATAAGAATTCGCTAGATTTTGCTCTTGAAATATATTTGGCCAGTCTAATTTGACCCTATTCTGAAATCTCTCACCAGAAAGCAAAAACAAGTTCTCATGATGAGTTTGAGTGACATTGCCGTTCAAAGATTGACGTAGGAGGAGAACTGTATCATCATAGTAAGAACGATGATTAGATAAGAAATTGTTGCGAAAGATTGTCATGAAATGAGGCTCTTCAAGTAAGAAGACCCATGATTTACAAACACAGCCAAATCTCTTGATAGATTTTAATGGCAATTTCCCCATAACAGAGAATGTCAGATCATCAGGTATGCGGTTCCTAAACTTTTCACTTGCGACATCCACAAATTTTTGTTTGTTAATGAGTTGCCAAAGGTGAGAAACCTCCTTGATCTTTTTCTTCCTCTTAGGATCCTCATCAACATGTTGAACATCATTACTAATTTCCTTCTCTGTTGTCTTCTCGATCCAAAGGTAAATGGGATAGCTGGTGAATTCAAAGTGTTTCTTGACAAGGTCCTTGATCCTCATCTCTTCCAAGTACTCCAACTATTGACAAAAATATAGGAATTAGTGAATTGCATCAAAAGAAATGGGGTTTATGAATAATTTGTGTTCCTTACCTGGTCCTCCTTAAGAAAGAGGGTGATTTTGGTTCCCCTCTTGAGATGTTGGCCACTAGAGTCCTTAGTAACAGTGAAAGAGGCACCACCCTGAGATTTCCAAGTGTATTGATCATGACGGTTGTGTTTGGTGGTGACGATGACCTTGTCAGCAACCAAGAAAGCGGAGTAGAAACCAACACCTAATTGACTAGACCTTCCCAAATTGTGGATCAAATCTAAAATAATACGCACACCACACCTATAAGCATGAAATGCACACAGACATATAAAACAAAAATGCAACACATTACCTGTTTTGGTCATGCCAATACCATTGTCAATGATGGAAAGTGTTTTGTTAACCTTATGAGGGACCAATCTAATTGAGCACGAAAATTCTTTATCTCTCTCCCTCTTATTGTATTTCTTTCTTGAGATTGGGGAGGCATATTATAGTGTGAAAGGTTGCCACAAAGCACCTATTTGAAGATTCATTAGAGCTCGTTCAAGAGGTATTTCAGTCAATCTTTTTCTCTCCCTTTTATTTCTTAATTTTTATGAGTATTGTTATAATAAAAGCAACCATGTAGATATTTTAGAGTCAATTGTGTAATTTAAGTTTCAAGCATGTAAATAGTCATCATTAAAATGGGATTTAATATTTATATTATTATTGTTTATAATGCTAACTTCATCATAGGATACCGATTAAGGGTGTTGTAGGGGTGCTTAATACCTTCCTTACACGTAATCGACCCCTGAACCCAATTTCGAGCTATTCCCAAGGACTAATCCCCAAGATTTTACACAAGGGGGCTTTCCCTGGAGATGTATTCCATATCCTATCCTTAAAACATTTATGCAAATGATGCATGTAATTCAAGACCCTATGCATTCTCATATCACATTATCATGTCTCACTATCATATAACATTATTATGTCTCATCATATAACATTATCATCATATCTCATGTCTCATATTCACTTTTCACATTATCTCGTCATATTCACATAGTCTCCACAGAGCACTTTAATTCATATAAAAACCTGTCTATTTTCAAAATTAAATACATATTCGTACATCTCATCCAACAAGGAACACAACAGAACAATCAGAAAGCAAAACAAAAAACATTTATATTTTTCCTGTTTCTCATAGGGTTCCCTCAGGAACTCACAGAGCACTCTAATTCATACATTAGACATATAAAATAGTTCAATTTGCTCATATAATTGCGTCTTCAAACAATCCCCTCTTACAATCACCAATGCATTCCCTTAGAATTTCCCATCGGAACCCATAGGAACACCAAAGTTTGCAATTATAATCCAAACACAAACACTACTCGTACATACATACTAATTACATCAATTAGAACATTCAAGGGGAAACATAGATGAAATAGATACAATTGGGAAAAACCCCTCATATATGAGCATACAACAAACATAGGATTGGGGGTTGTAGACACCCAATTTCGTACGGGGGCATAAAAACAAGGAAATGAACTTCTATTCATGAAGAAAAGGAGCTCCTAAGCATCAAAATAACAGGATATGACATCAGAAGGCCCAAAGCCCAATAAGGCTAATTTAGTAGCCTAGAATGGGTCGTTCCCGAACTGGAACGGGCCGTTCCTAACAAATAAAAATGCCTAAAAACCCTAGCTTGGAACGAGCCATTCCAACACATTTTGTTATGAGTAAAATTTGAACACAGAACGGGTCGTTCCACTTTTGGAACGGGCCGTTCCGCATCTTGGAACAGGTTGTTTCACTTTTGGAACGGGTCGTTCCAAAGTCAAATTTTTACCCACAACAGTCAGAACCAGAACGGGCCGTTCCAAATTCAGAACGGGCCGTTCTGGTCAATTTTGAAGCCTATAAATTGGTGCGTTCGGCACAGTTCTCAAGGCGGCTAGGAAATTTCGGATAAGACTCCTTTGAGCACGAAAATTCTTTATCTCTCTCCCTCTTATTGTATTTCTTTCTTGAGATTGGGGAGGCATATTATAGTGTGAAAGGTTGCCACAAAGCACCTATTTGAAGATTCATTAGAGCTCGTTCAAGAGGTATTTCAGTCAATCTTTTTCTCTCCCATCTTAACTGAAATTATAATAAAATTGGAATATTTATTTTTGTAACTGAAACTTGTTATTATCTATTTATTTTTACTTAATATTATATTTCTATTTTCTATTTATTATTTGTTGGCTTTTTTGGTAGTTTTGTCTCATGGTTCTCATCTTCTAGAGTTCATCTCTGAACAATACGAGGCATTGGGCCAACTTTTGCCTAGGAATCATACTATGCTTTCAGCATTATTGTTAATAGATAACCAACATAAAAAAAAAATTAAAAAGAAACTCACACTTAAAGTGATTTTTCTTTAAATTTATATATATATATTTTTTAAAATTTGTGCACTTTATAATTGACATTCTTTGTCCAAGTTTTCCTACTTATTTAATTGAAATTTTCATTTACTAGTTTGCTCTTTTTATGCTTGACAATGAAAAGATTATTATGGTATTTTCTTTAATTTTATGTCATAAAAGTTATGGGATTCATGGATTATTTGTTGTTATTCTCCTATTTTTAAAGTTGTTGTTTTTTTGTCTAAGATCAACTTAAGTTTGATAAGAAGATTATTGCATAAGAAGTGGAAGAAGAGTTAATGAAGAGTAATTGCAATATTTTGACACTCTTTAAATAATAGCTATTATCACTTATCAAAAGAACCACTTAATTTCTTAGATCACTTAAGTTCTTAGATAGATTTTGAGATGTATAATTTGAAATATAATTAGTTAAAATTTTATATTTAACTGTTATTATTTTAAATGTTAAACATTATAAATCAAGCTATTATTACCATGTCATTTAATTATTTTTAATAACAAAGCATACTTTTTCTGTAATATACAATGAGAAAGAGTACATTAGAAAAAACATAACCACCAAAATTTTAAAGCTAAATCTCTTTAGAAGCAAAAGCATCTCTCTATTGTTTAACAACAACTTATTTTAATTTTTTCCTCAATTAAAAATGACTTTATTTAATAAGCCAACATCCTAAATTTGACCAAAACCATATTTATGTTGCCGTTCAATTTGTAAAGATGTCATTCTAATGCACCTTAAACAATGTTAACCGATTTTCAAGGCTTCTACATGCACTAATTTGATTCATTGCAAAAAGAAAAAATGAATTTTATGTGAGAGCACGTTGGTCGATGGATGAAGTGAACAAAAAATTACCGATGCATATTTAACTTTTTAAGTAATGGAATGAAAAAAGAAATCAAAATTAAGCCTTTTCCAGGTGAATAGAATGGAACATTATTCATAATATTACAACAGGTATTCCATGATAAAATTGAAAGAACCTTTTTTTAAAAATAAATCTCAAATCTACTTCTCTAATCTATAAACAGATTTATATATCCTACTCTTGATCAAACATACAATATACTTTTTTCTTTAAATGACAAATAAGAAAAAGATTAAAAAAATATATATACCCATTATTCGTTTTTTCTTTAAATGAAAAATAAAAAATAAAAAAATAAAAAGATAAAAAAGATACTTACTGTTTGTGCGAAACGGCTGCCGGAACTCGTGCAAGGTGGCTGCCGGAACTCGTGCAGGGTGGCTGCCGGATCTCGCGCAGGAGGGCTGCCGGATCTCGCGTAAGGGGCTCCAATCGCAGGACGTTCGCGTAAGGGCTGCGAAACGGCTCCTTTACTTTACTCCAATTACAGGATTTTTGCATTTTAAGTCATTTTAGGGATTTAAGTCACTGGATGCGCATGCATGTAGCTCGAGCGTATGGCCCATACATATATTATATATTTCGGATGGGGTGATGATAAACACACTTCCGTGTACATATAAACATACTTTTTTTATAAAAAAATTTATAAAATTCCTAAATTATACTTTTAAAAAAATATTTATAATCCCTAAATTTGCACTCTGCGCTCCTCTTCTTCGTACCTTTTTTTTTCTCTTATTTCAGAAAGTATTTTTCGAAAATATTTTTGTACATAATTTTGAAAAGTACTTTAAAAAATATTAAAATTATTGTTCTGGAAAGTTCTTTCTGAAATTATATAAGAAACACATTCGAAAAATGCTTTCTCGAACAATAATTTTACTATTCTGGAAAGTACTTTCCGGAATGCTAAAATTAAATTTCGAATCTTATTTTAGGATATGACAAATTTAACTTACGTGTTTCTTTATCTTTTCATCCACCACTGTCGTCTACGATCTTGTTATCCATAAGTAATATTAAATAAGTTTAAAATAATTATAAATATAAAATTTAATTTAATATATTAATTTGTACCTTGTATTAAATGTAGAGAATAATGAAGATTGAATGAAAAATTGAGGTTTAAGAAAGAATAGAGTAGAAAGTGAAAAATAAAATTTAAAAGATAGAAAGATAAAATATGATTATGTTGATTATACAAGAAGAAAAATCAAGAATGAAAAACAAAAAAGAATAAAATCATCAAAGAATGACTAGAATGATGAAAAAGGAGAATGAGAAAAAAAAATGATGAAAGAAGGAGGTGAATAAAAAATAAATTTAAAAATAAAAATTTAGTTAAAAATATATTTAAAAAATTATATTTAATAAAAAATAGATTGGAGGTGTACTTATAAGAAAAAATAAAAGGCGTATATATCATTAGCCATTCCGGATTTCAACATATTGAATGAAAAAATGGGCCATACAATTATAAAAATGAATAAAACAAAAAGAAAAAAAGTTAAGAGGAAATTTTGCTTTAAAAAGTTGAGGTATAGATAGATATTATAAATAATATATATATAGTTTAAAATATAATTATATTAAATTAAATTAAATATAATTGAATTATCAAACAAAAGATGAATGATTGATTTAGTATGTATATATTTAATTTTATTTAAATTATATATTGAATTTAATTTTTATGTATGAATTTTTTATTA